ATAATAATAATAATAATAATAATAATAATAATAATAATAATAATAATAATAATAATAATAATAATAATAATATTGATTTTCCAATAAGATAAAAGAATTGAAAGTTGGTTGAAAGTAAAAAAAGATTATGTTAATGGTATTGGAGATAGCATAGATGTTGTGGTAATTACATTCTATTTATCAATTCAATTTAACAAATCTATTAAATTAATTTACCAATTATTTGTTTTTATCTAATAATAATTATATTTTTATCCAAATATTTTATTACTATTATTATTATTATTATTATTATCATCATTAAACAAAGCCAATCGGTGCTTGGCATGGTAATGGAAGAAAAGCTAAATGGTGGAGTCCAGTATTACTCGCGATTTATAATCCCGAAACAGAAACACTTGAAAGTGTTTGCAAGTGTATGTCAGGATTTAATGATCAATTTTACAAGGAAATGAAATTAAAATATTCCAAAAAGAATGGAACAATATTGACACATAAAAAACCTTATTATGACGTGGCGGAAGGATTAACACCAGATGGTGAAATACTCATTCAATACACATTAATTTTTTAATAATGATTTTTAAGTATTTTTTTTGACAAATGAATTTTTTTTTATCTAGTTTGGTTTGAAGATCAAGAAGTTTGGGAAGTAAAAGGTTTGCATAGGTTTATTTTGAAATTTTGAAAATTTGAAAATTTCGGGGATTATCTTTTCTTATATTACCAATTTTGACTATCTTTATATTTTTACATTTTAAAATAAAAAAGGAGCTGATATCACGATTTCACCTATTCACAAAGCAGCATTTGGTAAAGTTGATCCAAATAAAGGCTTGTCATTGAGATTTCCAAGATTTATAAGGGTACGAGAAGACAAATCAATAGATGATGCTACTAAGAGTGATCAAATTTCGGAAATGTTCTTTAAACAGGTTAAAGAACAAAAATCTCACGAGATTACAAAGATTGAAGATATGGAAATAAATGGGAGTGATGAAGAGGAATTTGAATCAGATTCATAATTGATTTACAGGTAATTTATATTAATTAGTTTTGTAAACATTATAATTTCATGATTATAATATGATGATTCATTTCAAAGATTAAAAATTGTCATATTCGTTATCTTCTACTGGTCATTTGTAACTTGCATTCATTTTTATTTCTTGATCTTATGTTTCTTCTACATCTGGTATATCATAATTTGTTTCATCCGTTGGTGAAATATCTTTAGGAATATTATTATTATCATCATCATCATCATTATTATTATTGAACTGAAGTATTAATACTACTATTAAGCTGAACACATCCTTTTCTGTTGGTAAGCTACGCAATATCTCATTATTCCCTTCTAATCGTGAAAATGTTGTCATTATCCTCTTGCATATATTGTAGCATTGGTGGAGATGGTGGCATCTTATTATTTATTATTAAATAAAATGATGATAATAATATTATTATTATTAATATTAAGAATAAAATATCTTTAAATATTCGAAGAGATTATTTGAAAAAAAGACACCTCGGGTATAAGTTAAAAATTTATAGATGCCTATCAGGGGTTAAACATAATTCATATTTTTAAGGGTACTGTTAATGGTTCTTTATTCTGTGCTGTGCTAAAAACTAATACAGTCTGGTGCAAAAGTCTTTGGACGAAAATCATTAAAATAAAAAGTTACACGAGTCACTAATTTTAACTATTACAGGTCATGCTTTTGCATTGCATTAAAAGTATGTCGTTCAAATAAAATTTTTTTTTTTACTCCAAGGAAGAAATGAGGCCAAACATCAAAAACACCCAAGCACAAACCATACAACATTTGTGGAATAAGGGAATTAAAAATGCTGCCGAAATTCAACGCAGAACTAATATTCCGAGATCAACAATATATTATAACATAAAAAAATTAAAAAAAAACTGGGAGCACGGCTCATAAAAAACGTTCCGGCCGACCTAAAAAAATTGATGCCAATAACTCAAAAGCAATTGGGCAGTACATTAGAAGAAATCCGGCTATTTCTTCCCGAAAGATGTCATCCATATTATTAAAAAAGGGTACCGATGTATCCTACAGTACAATATTGCGGCATTTGAAAGACCACGGCTATGATAAAAAGAAAAATGAATAGAATGGGCACAAAAGTATATGAATGATGATTGGAATCGTACGGTTTTTTCAGACGAAACATCTTTTTGGTTGTTTAGCAACACAGTTCAGTATTGGTATCGAGGTCAGCGGCCAATTCGTCATATTCCAAAAGACCGAACAAGAATTAATGCATGGGGTGGGTTTTGTAGTCAGGGTAAAACTAGTATTTTTTGTTTTCGTGATATTATGAATGGTCAATTTTACGTTGAAATAATAAGAACACATATTCCTGAGATCAAAAGAATGTTGCGCAACAATTGGCGCCTCCAGCAAGACAATGACCCGAAGTACACAAGTCGTGTAGCTAAGGAATTCCTGCAAGAAAATGTTCCAGCCGTTATGGATCGGCCTTCCAATAGTCCAGACTTAAATCCCATTGAAAATCTATGGCCATCCTTAAAAGAAACGTAGAAATGCGACAACCACAAAATATTGCGGATTTGGAAAATTTTATGAAGGAGGAATGAGCAAAAATTCCTTAGGACATTATAAAAAATTTAATTAATTCAATGAATGAACGTTGTAAACTTATTATTGAAAAAAGTGGGGAACGTATCCCTTATTAAATTTTTTTATAATAAAATATAACTCTGTCTATCAAATGAATGTTTTTCATGTGATTTGGCGCAGCGACTGCGGCATAAAATATTCGTCTGTATATCTCTCTCAGAGTAATGATCCCTGTCAGAATTCAAAAGTTTTATTACAACTGTATGAAAAACTCCAAAATTGTTTTTTTATTCAAATAATAGAAGAAATTCCAAATAAATAAACAACCTTTACAAAAAATTATTGAGTCAAAGGCTTTTTACTTTTGATGACATATATAAGTTGCATCACATATTAATGTAAATCCTAACACTGGTCAAATAATAGTTAAATGGCTAACTTTAATTTCTTCGTTGCATTCCGTGAACCCTTTAATGGTTAATTGGCAAAATGGTTGCTGACCGATTTGGAAATAGAAGGAAAGCACCTACTGAAAAAATTTTAGACCTAAAGCTCACAAATTAAAGGAATGATAGACATTTAAATTTTGAATATTCGTTCAAAATTTAAATACCTTAATTTGTGAATTTTAGGTCTAAAATTTTTTTAATAGGTGTAAGTCTATAGTATTAAATTTAATTCATTGGACCTATAGATTTTAAAGCTTGATCAGTACTAAAGGAATTGATGAAACATATTTTACTTTAATATTACTATTTCACTAGTTTATATTACCAGTTTTTTCAATATTATCAATATTATCAGTATTACTATTTTATCAATAATGATAATTGATAATAGGTGAAATTAAGTGCAACTTGAGAATTCTATCAACAGTAAATATTTTGTCAAGATTATTACAACATAAAAAAAAAATAAATGATATTTTTTTTTTTTTATTTCAGAAATATTATATATACAATAGTAACCTAATCTTTTTTTATTAATTTTCTTAATATTTTTTTGAATTATTTCAAGGTTGAACTACTTATATTATACAAATTAATAATTATTCTCTTTTATTTTCTTACTTTTAAAATGTCTTGTACATATATTTCAAATAATATTTGGTGAACAAAAATTTTGAATAAGCTTGATGAACATTTTATAATTATTAAAAATTATTCAGATGAGAACAAGTAAGTATATTACTTATATTACTTAAGTCTTTTTTAATATTAACTTCATATAGTTTGCAGTTTGCCTTTTAATATTGGTTCAGATGTAACAATCAAAAACTATAAAACTTTTCTTCACAATCATGAATCTTCTGAATTCAAGTTTGAGTGTATTTATGGTCACGTAATGATAATTGGTATGGCTTCAATTATATATATAAAATTTGATGCAATTAACAATGCAATTAAATTTTATTAATTGAGTCAAGGGCTTTTGAATTTTGATTTATAGCTTCAACCATGCATAAGTTTGTTATTGAACAGTTAATAAAATACTTCAATATTCCCCATTCCCAATGGTGGAGTTGATGACAATCCTCCAATAGAAGTCATTAGACAGAATTTATTCATATTTACTTCTTACTATTGAATTTTCAATATTCTTATATCTTTTTCATATGGTTTACTGTAAGCCTGGTAAAAAAAGGATTATAGCACCTGATATTGTTGTATGTCCAAGTATGGCATTTGTTTCAAAACCTCTAGTTCCAAGTTATCCAGTGATTTAGATGTATGTGTATATTATTGTATTTGTTTTTACGTTTTATATACAATTTTAATTAATGCAGTTTATGTAGAGAATTCCTCATGCACAGACAAATATGTGAGGTGGCCGTGGGTGATAATAATGTTGGTTATGTGGGATATAGGTGCTTGAAATGGATGAGAAAGGAATACACCCATGCTGTTATTGGTATCAAGATTTCAAGTCCAAGAGCTAATATACAAAAACCCGTAACTGGTAGAATCATGACAGTATTTATTGTTTGTATTAATTTTAATATATTAATGCAATTGATTGCGTCTTATATTTAATTATTCTATTTTTTTTTTTTTAGACTAAACTTTTATCGTAAAGAAACGACAACACAGCGATGGGATTTTGGAAATATTAAAAAAGATGCAGAAAATCCTAGTGATAATCCTGCTGAATGTAATGTTCCAGGAATTCCAGCTTTTCAAATAATAATTCCTATAAATGAAGTTTTTTTGGAGTCCGCCAGATTCAACCTCACTCTAATTCCTGCAACAAATAGCATTAAAATTTTAACAATAAACATGAGTTAAAATATATATTATATTAATGTAAAAGAATTACATTTATTAAATAAATTATTCTTTATAAATTCCAGCATTAATTTTGTTTCTATGTAGCTATTTGACTGTTAATTCTCTTCTAAATTTACTTTAATCTTGAAACCACTTTTTAACCCTTATATTGTAAAATTTCATTCATTCAAAGTTGGACTTTGAAAGAAAACCAGAAATTTGGTAAACAGATCGATTAAAGAAATTACTTGAAATTCTAGCAAATTTATTGGAACGTGTAGAAAAATAATGAAATTGAAGCAAATAATGTACTAAAATCAGCACTATAGTAATTGAAATTGAATAATAATATAAAATAATAAATCTTGACCTAGCCTATTAAATCATACATTGCATAAAAAAAACAATTTGCCGATCCATTAATTATTCAAAAATCGTGCCGATCTTAGACGGATCACATATATTAAAAAAATGGAGGATTACGAAGAGATATTTGGTGATGGAGCTGAAGAACTTTCTGATGTAGTCGATGACTTTTCTGATTTCGATTACGACCATGACAAAGCTTCCAACGCTCCAGCACTTAAACAAAAACAAAAGTCTCAAAGAGATTTAAGTGTTTCACCACCCAGGAGATCAATTCCTGTAGGCGACAGAGATGAGGATGATATTTATATTCCTCAACCTACTAAAAGACTAAAGAGAAAGTCAATAGAAAAACGTCACCGCAAAGCTCCTGTTAGAAAGAAGAAATATAGAGATGACGACGGTGATCTTGATGAAGATGAAGTGATTGCTCCTACCGCAGAAATGGCACCTCTTATGGAATCAAGACAAAGGATTGAACGAGATTTTGATGAAATAATGCCAAAGAAGAAGGGAAAATCTAAAGCAAAAGGAATTGATCTTGATAAATATTATGATCAAGCAGCCGAAAAGCTATATCAACAAATGATTGAATATGCCGACTACGATTACAATACCTGTCAAGATCAAAAACCTACCACAAAAAAATTGGATAATCTTCAATATGTAGTAGATGAATTATCAAAACCTTTTATGTTAGAGGCATTAATGGAATCGAACATATTAGATGCAATTAGATATTGGCTTGAACCACTTCCTGATCGTTCTTTACCTAATATAACAATTGTAGAACAATTAATGAAAGTTTTAAATAAAGTGAGTATATAATATTGTATAATGTTATATTTTTTTTTTTCCCTCTCTATATTTTTTCTAATTCACATTTTTAATAGCTTCCTATAATTACTGATCATTTGTTATCAAGTAAAGTTGGAAGAATTGTATATTTTTATGAACAATCTCCCCGGATTTCAGATCATATAAAACAATTAGCTTCAAATATTGTGGCAAAATGGAGTAGAGCCATTTTTGGTATTAGTGTAGATTACAAAGATAAGAACTTTAAACGTGTCGAATTTGATCCTGAATTGTAAATATGATATTTATTCTTAATTCTTTTATAACTTTAATCATAAATTACAATCACAATTACTTATTATTTTTCTTTTATCAAATAGGATGGCTGAAGTACAATCTAAAACAAATTATTCCGAACCAAATAATATGTGTGTAAAAGATAATTTATTTCTCATATCAATGTTTTTAATATATAATATATTAAATTATTTTTATTTATTTCAGTGATGAAAGAACTCCACCAAAAAGAGCCCTGATGACATCATCTGCTGTACATGCACAAATACCACAACCCGCTGCCTTCGATTATGATATTATGCCCGAAGTTCGACTATCATCACCTCATCGTGGTAAACGAGCAGATGATCCATATAAACATCTAAAGCAAACTATGGCTAGAATGCGCAGAGGAGAAAAGAAAAGAAAAATATAATAATTCATAATTTCATAATTTTTATAATATCTACAAAATAATTCAATAATTATTAGTTTTTTTTTAGAATTATTGTCTGTACTATTAAATCTATTTCATTTAATTCTTCATTTTCATCATCTGTAAATGGATTTTTTTTTGTTTTTTAAGTTGTAACTGCCAATTTATAAATTAGATAAAAAAAAAAAAGGTTACATATAATTTCTTTTGATACCTGTTTAAAATGAAAAGACAAGTTGCACACAAAAGAATGAATCCAAAAATCTTTTTTATGATATTTTGCATACATTTTACAAAATTGATGTTTAATATTTGATATGAATTAAATTGAAAGAGCCAAATTTGGATTTGAGTTTGATTTTCGAAAGTTGCACAAAATTTTAGAATTATCTGATCAAATTCTACATAATATGTATTTACATTTAATGGATATCTTTAAAAATTATTTTCGGAAAAATAAAAATAATATGGATATCGTTATAAACGAAACACCTGCAAAGTTTTCAGAAAAGACAATAAATAAAGCACGCAAAGTTCTTAAAGAAAGGTTATCAGGATATTCTATACCAGAAGTATTGGTAGGGTTAGAAGAACAATATGGGTATGTTTTAAACGCGTATTGGAGATGATAATAATGGAATTTTGTAAAAAAAAAAAATTCTCTTAAAGAACAAAAAATGAAAATATCAAATTTTTAGAGAACTTTTTGATCTTTTAAACCGGAATGTATCCTTGGGTGAAAGTAATACGTGTATACTTATAGGTCCAACTGGTTGTGGAAAAACTGCGGTATTATTAAGTTCGTGTTTTGGTCACGTGGTTTATTTGATATTTTAACTTATGACGATATTATGATATTTGAACTTATAGTTACTTAAAAAGGCTTTAAAATCATTAGAAGAAATTCATGAAGATGATTTCATTTGTGTATATATAAACGGATTATTTCATACATCTGATATATTAGTACGTCAACAAATTTCTCGCCAACTTGGGCAACAAATTAAAGGCTTAGTATGCAACTTTTATTTTTACCAGAGGGGGAGGGATAGTGAAGGGATTTCATTTAATTTATTTATTTATTTTTTTATTTTTATTTATTTTTTATAATTTGAATTTATAGAAATCAGATGGAGACGCGTTCGATTTATTAAAATCAGGAACTACCGGCAATAAATCTATTTTATTAATTATCTATAATTTTGATATGTTCGCGAAAAATTGTAGTCAACCCTTTGTATATAATATATTTAATATTGCTACAAGTAAAAATTGTCCTATTTCAGTAATCGGCATCACACGAAATGTGGTATGTAATGATGATATTGTTTAAATATATGTTGAAGCGTTTTTTTTTTTCTTTTTTTTTTTTGCATTAAATTAATTTATTAATTAATTTTTCTTATATAATGTGATGAATGTTAGAATGTTTTTAATGAGCTTGCTCAAAATATTTTATCAAGAAATTCCCATTGTCATATTGATATAGATCGTCTTGAAAATATTGATTTGTTTACTGAGGTGGCAAAATTGGTATTGAACTTAAATGAAGATGTAATAGAAGACAGAGAATATTGCAAATTATTCAATGAAAAAATTGAGGTGGCGAATTTTTTTTTCTTTTTTTGAATTGCTTTTCATATTTTTAGGTTTTAATAATATATATTTTTTTTAATAATTTGTCAAATTATTTGTTAAATTGATTAAAATTCAAATTTTGTAGGAGATGTTTAATCAAGAATCTTTTAAAACAATAATTTATCAAATATTTAATACTTCGACGGATTTTATACGATGTTTCTACAAAATAAGTGTTAATATCATATATTTTTTTTCCGGGAAATATATATAATTTAACTTTTTTTTTTCAACTTTCATATTAATATAATTTCTTTATTAAGTTTGCTCCAGTTGATAAGTTATCTATTAATTCGCCTTTCCTTTTGCTGGATGACCTTAAACAATCAGTTATGGACCTTTCTGTGAACATAGAACGCGTGTTAATTGGTAAATATATATTATATATACAAAAAAATTTTTTCATTTTATCAAAATTATTTATATTTACATTTTATGTATAGGGTTAACACAAACCCAATTATGGTTATTACTTGCTGTCAATTCGTTATTTTTCCGAGGTTGGACAGTATTTAACTTTGTTATGGTTTATGAAGAATATACAAATTATATGAAAGCTTATGTAAGAAAATCTGGTAGCAATTTTCGAATGAAGATATGTAAAGAATATCTTGCCTTCATTGAATTTGAATTTTTACAGTCAAGGAAACTTATACAACAAATTAATGAAGGTAAATTTCAACAAAAATATAATATGGTAAAATCATTACTTTTGCCTGAACAAATTATAGAAGCAGTCATTAAAAATCCACATTGCTCTTCTGCAATGAAAGATTGGGCTACGCGAGGTCTTGTTGATTAACATTAAATTTCATAAATGAATTTCCAAAATGAATTTCTAAATGAATTTCTAAAATGAATATTATAAATAAATAAATAAATAAAATTAATAATAAAATAATTGGAAATCGCAAGATTTATGTTTATTTACATGAGATTTTTATTAATTTTATGCAAAAAAAAAACGATGTAAATTATATAAAATAATATGGCTTTTTAGTATAAAGAATACCCATATTGCTCAAAATATAACGTGAAAGTTACATTGCTTATCATCCATCTATCTAATTTGGAAATTTGAAAAAAGATTCATAGCATATGAACGACGAAATTTGACGATTCGGAAAGGAATAATTCCTGTAATTATATCCATAAGGAGAATTCAAAGAATGTGACGCATAGATTAAAGATGCGAAACCACATTGTAATCCAATTTCGATTGATTCAATTCTTACGACGAGTTGAGTAACAAGATCTAAGAAATTTATAAAATTAAAAATATTAAAAACAATAGCGTATGTTCTCGAAAGTGATCAATACATGCTAGATAATCACAGGCATAAAAAGCAAGTGCAATCTTGCAAAATACTTGAATGTAATGATTGATTAATCAAATATAAATAAAGACCCAATTCCTAACCCTAATAGGGCTTAAAGACGAGCCTAAGCCTTAAGGTTTGGCTTGCAAAGCTCATGAGTTTATACCTTACTTCAGATTCATTTTATGCAACGGAGAGTAATTTTCTATTAAGATATTTATGAGACCATTCAAGGGCCCTCCTTTTAAGCTTTGCAATGGTAGTTGAATTATCTTTCTAACATCAATATTCATTGAGTTGTTATTCTCCACATTAATTTTTACTTGATTTTCTACCAAGATATTCCTATCACAATCAAAAAAATCCCAAATGCCAATAATTTTTGGCACCCCAAATTATTATATTATTTTTATATTCTAATAAATTAATGATTATTTCAATAACTGATAACCAATAGCAAATATATAAATTTTTTACATAAAGTTTCTTAGTTTATTTTTAGTTTTTTTCAAGTAACTAAGAGAAGTTGTTTAGAAATAAAATTGACTGCTTATATTCACCATAATTTGAAATCCTATTCATGATAACACAGTCTTATTCTTTTTTAATAATTTCATTATTATAATAATAAAAATATATGCTAAGAAATAATTTTATATTAAGTCTAAGTCGGCACTCGTTTTAAAATCATCAGCTGCCCTATAGGTAAAGTATAAATTGGTACAAAATAGTCATAGATGAAGTTTTAGTATCTGCTAAGTATACTATTTGGCTATTGTTTTGTAAAAAGTTTGATTAATTTTTCAAAAAATAAAAGATACTTTCTTATACACTGAAAAAATCAATTTTTTAAAATTATTATGAATTATTATAAATCTATCCCACTTTTTTTTTTATATCAATAGTGCCGTTCTTAGACGGATCATTTCTTAAATACGTATTAAAGTGATTGAATCACTAGTTTTTCGAAACATTTACATTTTTTATAAACCTATTTAAAAAAAACTATGACCCTTCTAAAATATTATAACCAGTCAGGTTACCCGAGTCAACCATTTATCAGAGTCCTCTAAATTAAATGATGGTGGTACTATTAAAAAAGTCAAAAATATTTAAAATATTTTATATTTGGTAACCTATGATAATAGAGAATTCAATTTAATATACCTCATTGTAATCATTGTAATCATTGTAATCATTGTAATAAATAAATTTGATTATTAATGGAGTTATTGACTATTAACTATTTTTAAAGTGATAAAAAAAATTGTTTTGATTTATCACATATCCATACATAAATATATATACAAGGGTGATAAATGAACCCATGAAATTTTATGACTTGTTACAATTTTAGCATTACTTGTGAAAGTTTATTTTCATAGACAAGAGTTTAGAAATTCATTTATTTCAACGTTTATCACTAAAGAACATACACTTTATTTACTAATAAATAATGACGACTACGTCCATGGATTCTTCGTTCGGTAAACAAAATTATATTAATCGTGAAATGATCCGCATTTTGAATTCAGTCGAGTTAATTTTACCTTATTCTATTGAATGTAGAAGATATTAAACGCAAAAGAGAACGTGAGGGCTCACTTGAATTTAAAGAACCCGAAGATTTAACTGTAAACAAACTTAAATATTTTCATCCAATGAATTCTTTATCCTTGTTTATCTTTATATTAAAATTTTATTTTTAATTATTTTTGTAATAGAATCAATCTGATTCTTCTGTTGAAGGCGATAAAACAGTTCGATCAAAAAAGAAGTAGGATTTTTTTGTAATTCGATTTTTTATCAAACGAATTGGGACATTTTACGAATTTTACTGAGGAAAATCTGAATCGATCAGGCGACATGATATAATTAATAAAGATTTGGTAGACGAAGATAATCAAAAAACCTCCGGCGGCGAAACGAATGAACCCATGACGACTCTTCAAAAAAAGGTTGAAACAATGAAAGTTGACGCATATGGCAATGAAGAACAACAACCTATTACTTTAATGTCTGGTGCCAATGTTATGAATGTTGATGTTGACACACCAGCAAAGAAATCTGTAATAATTTCTTCGTTGGATAATTTTTCTCAAGAATCCGAAGAAGATAAAAATATTGATGAAAATGAAAATGAGAATCCATTTTCTAATTTATCTAAAAAACGTACGGCAAAAGAATTATATGTGGGAAATGAAGTAGATACTAGTAAAGAATCGACGGAAATGCCTAGAAAGCTATCTAGAACAGCAGCTTCCAATAATAATACACAAATGGAATCAATGCAAAGAAATAAAAGTTTTAATTTGTCAACAGAAATTAAAAATAAAGATGATTTGTCATTGCCAAGACACCAAAGTTTTACGACTATCGAATTAACGAGAAGAAATGAAGAAAACAAAAATTTTTCATCAAATACAAAAGAGAAGAAATCTAAAAAACTTGAAGAAGAATCACAAAAATTACAAGATTGTGATGAAAGTAATAATAACATTATAGAATCAATTGAGGTTACAAAAAATGAAAAAAAAGATTCAGAACTAGTTGAAGATAAAATCGACCATGAAAAAATTCCTGATAAAACATTAATTTCTACAGAAAATTTAAATAAAGCATCTGATTCCAAAATAGAGAGTAATGAAATTAATAAGGTACACTTAGAAAAACCATTTTTCGGAGGGAAAACCTTAATTGGTCAGAATTCAGGAATATTCGGTAGTGCATATACTAATAAAATCTTTGGTCAAAATAATGTAAGTTATTAATTTAATTATATTTAATTATATCTTCAGGTTTTATTATTAAAACAAAAGAAAATAATATTAAATTAAATTGATTTTTACTTGACCTTCGACTTTTACTTGATCTTTACAGAAATCAGATGGACTTTCTACCTCACCTCAAAACGTAGGTATATTTGGATCGGGGTCTAAATATACCAGAAATTCATTAATGGGAAGTTTTGCTAGTACGTTAAGCTCTCATAAATCAAATATTTCAATTTTCGATGAACAACCCTCACAAAATGATGACGAAGAGAATGATAATGATAAGGATAAAGAAAGTGACGTGGAAGAAGAAGTTCCTTTTGGGGGAACACGAACTTTATTACAAGAACTAGAAGGTAGAAACATTGATAATAATTAATAATAATAATAATAATAATAATAACAATAAATATTTTTTTTTTCTATTAATTTATTTAGTATTAACTGGAGAAGAGAATGAGATTACTCGACATTCAGTTAGAGCCAAATTATATTGTATGGATGGACAAACATGGAAAGAAAGAGGAGTTGGAATTCTAAGACTTAATTATCCAAGAAATTATGAAAAATCTCCTCGATTAGGTAAAATTTTAGTATAAATTCGTGATTATTATGATTACTTTTACCAACCAATATTATATTATTAACATGATTATGAGAATTCAATATTTGATTAAAAAAAAAAAATTATAATAATTTTATAGTTATGCGTGCTGATGGGGTATTAAGAGTGATCTTAAATGTTGCATTATTTCATGGAATGCATGTTGAAAGATCACAAGAAAAATTTGTAAGATTATTTGCATTTGAGGGTAAAGGTGATTTACTTGTTCATTTAGCTATAAAGGTTTGTAATTTTGGAATTATATTTTTATTATTATATCTTTTATTATATTTTTTATTATATTTTTTTATTATATTTTTTATTATATTTTTTATTATATTTTTTATTATATTTTATTGTATTTCTATTTTCTTTAGTTATCTAATTCTAATGCAGCTGATGATTTATATGAAGCTATAATGGATGCAATACCTCCAGCTCAAAATCAATCACATCCTAGAGTAAATGAAGTAACTTCTCGTGCCTGATCAACAATTCTTGGAAATCTCATTTTGATTTTTTTTTTTTATTATTATTGATATTATTTGGTATTATTTGTATAGCATTCTTTTTTTTAATGGTAGTTTTTAAAACGTGTGACATTTTTTATTATTATTATTATTATTATTTAGCATCAAATTTATAAAATATAAAATTGAGTTAGGATTTTTTAGTATTCGATGTAGGCATATTCATTATATTACATAAAATCAGTTATGATAAATGCACTAGAGAATACTTGTTGAGGATTTTTTTTTTTTTTTTTTTTTTTTTTTTGTATATTTTTTTTTTCTTTATTAACTATTTCCTTCTATGTATTTTATTATTGAATGATAATTTCATTTTATTATTACATTTTATTATTTTACTTATTCCATGTGATAGAATTAGTTGTCTTTTTTTGTTAATTAATAAACCAATGTGATTAGACGTAAATTATCATATCGTATTGTGTAGTATTCTAACTTACGGAATTTGGGGAATTGTTTCTGATACAAAATTCCAAAAAGTCTATTTTAATTTATAACAACTACGATAATAAAAGTTCTGTTATAAAATTTTTTCTTTCCTGTGGCTAAACTGTGTAGAAAAAAAACATAATTCGCTGGCGATTTTATGATCACATGCATAGCATATAGCATATAGTATTATGCTGATTAAATAGTAAATATGACAAAGAGCTTCATTTTGGAATTTCATTCATTTTTTTTTAATCACTCCGATTCAACAAAAACAACAAATAAAAAAACTATTTCCTTTTCTTCTCATTTATGTAGTACAAAATAGATAGATGTGGTTAGTGCTCTTGCTCGGGTTCGAACCGAGGGCCTTCTGCGTGTAAAGCAGACGTGATAACCACTACACCACAAGAGCTTGTATTCTGAATGTGTCGAAAATCCGAAAAAATTTGAATCTTTTGATTTTTTTATTTTTTTTATTTGTAATGACTCGCACAATCAACAATCACAATCCAAAAAAAAAAAAAAAAAAAATACTGCGTATTTGTTATTAAAACTCGACAAATATTTAAACCCCCCGTTCTTTCCCAAAAGTTGGTTCGAAAAAACTTTCCATATCATAAGTGAAAGAAAAGAGTGTTCATTCTCTTTTTTAATTTTCATTTATTATCCTTTTTTTTTTCCCAAGTAACGGCAGTGCATACTCTGTTAGAAAGTGCTATAATCTTTTTTGCAAGTATGTGCAATAAATGTCCTCCCGCCGAATCCTTAAAGATGGCTGGTCCTATTAGCCGGCTATTTTATGACTGGTTACCTCTTGGTAGCTACACTTTATCGAATGATTCCTCCTCCCGCTCTAGTTCCTCAAGTTCCTCCAGTTCCTCCAGTTCTTCTTGTTCGTCCTGTTCCAACATTTGTTCCAGTACTTCCTGTTCCAATGCCTCCAACGCTTCTTGCTCCAATCCCTCTTGCTCCTCCTGCTCCTCTTGCTCCACCTGCTCCTCCTTCTCCTCTCGTTCCTCCTGTTCCTCTTGCTCCTCTCGTTTCAGTATCTCCTGTTCCAGTAACTCTTGCTCAATGATCCTTTCCCCCCCACCAGTCCCCACTGAATTGTCAACACCCAGTGAAATCAGTGAATTTGCTTCCAACGTAATGTATCAGATGTGGGTCGTTAAGTCTTCGGGTTCCTGTCTTGCTCCCTCTTTCACGCCAACAAGACATTCTGCATTTCCATCACCTAGCGCCCAATTTAAGGGCTTTGTGGCGCAGGTAAGAATTTTATTCAATTTCAAGTACGATAATTCGTTATATTATACGGGAAGGCTAAGAAATATTATAGTATTTGAAAGAAATATAAGAAAGATGTTGTTATATTATATGAGAAGGAATATGCCGTTTAATTATTGAAAATTTCTATCACCCTTCCCAAACAATAAGGTAAAGGTATAATATTATATGTGAAGGGATTATGTGATTTAATTGAAAGGTTCTAATATTCATTCTATTAGTCTTCCAAATAATAATAAGATTCGTTTTATTAGCCTTCCTGAATGATAGTGACAATAAGATTAATCTCCTCAAACAATAATATGAATAGATTATTAACCTAATAATTTCTTCCATTTTTTTTTCTAATTTAGGTGATCTATTCAACACGGCTCACGAGTGGAGCCGTGATTATCTCGCTCAAATACGTGCAAAGATACGCACGTAGCTCATGGACCGTAGACTTCGGAGAGTACGGTCCAGAATACAAACTTTTTACCGTCGCGGTAATGCTGGCACACAAATGGTCGGAAGATCATACTTTTAAAAATAAAACCTGGTCGGAAGTGACTAGTATTCCCCTAGCTGAATTAAACAGGTTGGAGATGGCACTCTTAGAAGGTCTTGATTATAATGTCTCGGTGAATTCTACCGAATATTCATATTGGTACGCTTGTTTGCAAGAATTTACAAAGATCCAAAGCCAACCTCGTCTCAAGTTAACGGATACCAGCCCCAATGGGTTTCCTTCCACTGCTAGCTCATCGCGATACGGGATCGCGCAATCATCTTCGTCTCCGGATCGAAGAAGCCGAAGTTACGCCACGAACTCAGAACCATCGACCATGTCTCTACGACATATCATTAACCCAGTCGATCAATCCCCAATAAGTTACTTTGACGATCCCGCACAAGGCCGTACTTCCTCTCCCGTATCTTTTCTCCGAAATGCAGAATGCTCTGAAGGGGGTGCAAACGCATCTTCTACTTACGTTCGACAGGAATACTCGTACCCGTCAAACTTCCTGAACAAATCATCAAACGTCCGCTATCTTTTGACGCCAGAACAGCATCAGTCCACACCACCATTAGTCCATGACTTAGGAAATGGCGAAGTTAGAAATTTAAATAATTTCAACCGAGTAAACAGCAATCCACCAACTCCCGTGAACCTTAATCCATTTAATCCAGTTATCCAACAATCGTCATCATTCCACTCGATGATTCAACAAAATACATCATTCAAACCCGCTGTTGGTACCTCTTATAATTCCAACAGTTATTCATTCAAGGATAACTATTATGGATCCGTTCAAGCCCAGCAAGGCATGAACTTCGCAGATAACATCGGTGAACTTCTTTCCAGATTCTTTAATTATGTTGGAAAAGCTCAACCTGTTCAACCAAAATTTAACCCAACAATAGCACCTCCACCCGGTTTTGGTTACGAAAACTTACCAATATATCAGCAAGTTTTTGGTGATGGCACTACTAACGATAATAACGCTCATAACGGAAACTCCAATTGTTTAAATAGTGGTGGATACGGAATGTTTGATGGGCTCGATATGGATTTGGATTGGCAATAATCTGATAATGCCAAAGAAGTTATTATAGATCGTGTTCTCGCATTGATCTTATTACCGATATTCATTTTTTTTTATAATACTGGATATAATTTTTGTGAGGCAATATTCCTTTTTCTATTATTCTTTTATAGTTTTCATGGGGTTATTCAATCTTTTATTTCATTTTTTCATAATCCTAGATATAGTATTCATGGAGTATTATTCCTTCTTTTTTTTAATCCTTGTTCCTTTTCTATATATATTCATGATCACGTGGTAACTCACTTGTCTGATTTTACGGAGCAATATTAATCCCGTTATCTTCATGGGGCAATTCGATTTTTTTTACGGATTTTATCTTTATGGAGATATTATGATCTTTATAGAGAAAACTGATATTTGTTGACTGAACTGGACTTAATATTACTTTTATGGAGCGAACTGATCTTATCGATCAAATTATGAGCTATATTAACTGAACTGATTTTTATGGAGTGACATAAATTTGCTTATCTTATGTAGCGATTTGAATTTACTGAGTGATGGAGAGATAATGATTTGATCGATCTTCGTTAATGAAGTTTATATCTTATCTCAAAATGACAACTTTATTTTTTTTATCGAATTGTCGTTTTATCTATTTTTTTCGTTTTACCTTTTTTTTTCTTTTTATTTTCTTATCAAGTTATTTATTTTATTATCGAATTATAAATTTATTTTTCTTTAAGAACTTTTTTTATTTTCTTATATTTAAAAACCTTTTCTTCGTTTTATATACATACATTTTTATATTTATTCATTTTTATACATTTACTAAAATGGTAAATGGAATATTCATAGAAAAATCTCAATTACTATTATAACCACTTGTCAAGGGCAAAGAACATTATATGGCAAAGAACATTATATGGGCAAAATTTATGGATGTTAACGGTGCTCGGGCAAAATCTATAGAACTTTGGGCCAAAGTTTATGGAAGTAAACGATGGCTTGAGCAAAAAATTTAAGAAACCATCAGTGGAAATAAAACATTCCGGTATGATGGTCATTATTAATTCAAGAAACCATCAGGCATGGTGATATTCAATTTTATTATTAAAATACATAAAAATTCCCGCGTGGTGGTCATTCAATCTTATTATTAATTCAAGAAGAAACCATCAGTGGGAATAAATATTCCAGCATGGGATATTCAAAACATCATTCTTACCATCAAAGAGGAGCAATATGAAACATTTTAAAATATTTGTATCAAAAAAATTCATAATTAATTTTAGATGTTCGACAGAACATTATCTTTTTTTTTTTTTTTTTTTTTTTTTTTTTTTATCTTTAAAAGTTTTACCGGCTGTGGATTATATATATTACCGATATTAGCTGGTTATATATAACCATATTGGTAAAAAAAATTATTTTTATAGATTTTACAAATTAGATATATATATATATATATTATATATGTGTGTATAAATATATATTGTAAATTTGATTCAAACGAATCAAAATTAGACTTATTAGAATTTGTTTTTTTTTTTTAATTAATCTTTGAATTTAAAAGATTATAATAAAATGATTTAAATTAGATCATTAGAATTTAAATTTACATTTAATGTTAAAATGCTATGCTTTATATTTATTTACCTGTGTATATCAGATGTATGTATATTTGCACGCACGAATAACAAACGAAGAAAATAAAAAATATAATTCTAAAAATAAATAACTTTACAAAACTTTAATTTGTTTATTGATCGAAATATTTTTGTTTTAATCCAATTTTTTTTTACATAGCAATACATCATATATTCAAATTTATAAATTATCAAAAAATATAATATAAAAGAATAATATATAAATTAATTTGGTAAATTAGAAATAGGTAATACCTAGTTTATTGACTAGTAGAAGCGGTTGTTGATGATGATGGTTTCTTTTTCTTTTCTGCCTCGGCTTCTTTCTCTTTTTCAATTTCACTAACAATAGCTTCAACTTCTTCTATTTCTAAATTCTAAATATTCAAATAAATTAAATGAATAATTGAAATTAACTGATTCTACGTAAAATCGAAGTTGAAAAAAATAATCAAATTAATAATAATAAATATGTTAAAATACCTTGACAGAATCTGCAGTCACGACTGCAATTTCAATATTCTTTGCACCCGTTTGTACAACTTCTAACAAAGATTTGACTGCTAATTTTATGGTTTCATCTTTAGATAACCCTTCTTTATAATTTTTCTCCAAAAATTCGCGAACAGTTTTAGAACTTCTACCAATGGAATTTGCCTGAATTATAATTATTTAATTTAATTGATTGAATTGATTGAATTAATAAATTTGATTTAATTTAATTAATTAAATTTCTTCAAATTTGATTTAACGTGAAAATACAATGAATATAATAATTTACCTTCCATGCTGAATATATTCCTGATGGATCAGTTTGATAAAGTCTAGGTATTTTATCATTCGGGTCAAATCCAATAATAAGTGTGGAAATTCCAAAAGGTCGTACACCACCGCTCTGTGTATATTTCTATTAAACAGTATATGTATGTGTATGTGAATATATTATAATATTTATTAATATAAAACATAAAAAAAAAAAAAAAAAAATCGAGAAGTGAATAATATCGTACTTGTTGAATGGTAGCAATATAATGAGTAATATACTCGATTGTTACAGGATCTTCAACAGTAAGTCTATGACTTTGACATTCCACTCGAGCCTTATTAACAAGAACTCGTGCATCCGCACTTAGACCTTTTAAAATATAATTATTTACAAAGAAATTAATAATCCATGAAAACAAGAATCAAAGAAGAAATCAAAACTGAATTATTAATTTACCTGCAAAAGCCATACATACGTGATCATCAAGCATAACTATCTTTCGTATAGTACGAGGGTCTTGTAATTTAAGAACAGTTTTTTTCTCTACACCAAGAACAACACAATCTTCACCACGAACTCCAACCTAAAAGTAGATAATAAACAAATATATATAAATATATATGATTTGGATGTTCAACTTAATTTAATTCTCTTTATTCTTATTTTTTAAAATTTTTCATATACAAAATTTGTCTTGACTTCTTGACAATAAATAAATAATAATAATATATAAAATATATAGACATGGATATATGAATTACCGCACAAGTACCCTTTCTAACCGCTTCTAAAGCATATTCCACTTGAAAAAGATGTCCGTCTGGCGAGAAAACAGTCAAAGCTTTTTTTTAAAAAAAAAAAATAATATATTTTAATAAAGTCAAAAACTACATTCTCAAGTAATCGTTTCCAAAATATATATTAAACATATAAAAAATACAAAATGCTTTACCGCGATCATAAGAGCCTTCCATTTTCAAATTTTCAAATTTTTCGAGAAGATATAATATATTATTTAATATGATCAAGTTTATCAATCAACAGAAATGTCACGTGTAACGCATGCTTAACTTTATTTCTTTAAAACTATTTTTTGAATTTGTTTTAACCGTAGTTTTTTAAGCATAAATTTTGAGATTACTTTTTGAATAAAAAATATCCTTTTAATCCAAGTACCTAGAAACTTTCTTTAGATCATATTAATCATATTGGCACCTTTAAATTATTATTTCGTATAAAAAATGGATTTTTCCTATTTATATATATATATGACATTGTTATATAACACCAACATGATTCAATAAAATCGGCACATGATTTTGTAATTGTGATGTTATTTATGTTATTTAAGTAGAGTACATTCATATTGTATTTCCAGTTGGTTAGATGCAATATGTATTACCATGGCCGGCTCATTTGATTGCCAATATTTTATATAATGATTACACAGAAGACTTCATACTATACCCAAGTACATATCTAGAAAGATGAAGCCTTCTTCCAATTTTTTATATATAGATTACGAAGAAGGCTTCACTTTCAGATACATATTCACTTCCCTTTCATTTACAATTTGTTAACTAAGTTTGCTATCACTTCTTTATTGCATCCATCAAAAAAAAATAATTAAACATTTTGGAAATATATTGGAGTATATAAAGTTTTACTTACTGATGACATGTATACCCCTCACAAAAATCATGGAACTGGCCCTCTCACTCACTACAACAGTGCCAACTCTGCAACTGGTATTCTATCACATAATGATCTTGTAACAAAATTCGATAATGGATTCACCTCTTTGACTATCCAATAAACAACTTGTTCACTTTATGCCTACTGAAATAAGTGATTATGCTAAATATGTAAAAGGGGTCTCCACTTATATTTTGCACATTACTGGTACTTTGATTAATGGATAAAAGGCTATCGTAAATGTTATGGACATTAAACCTTTCTTTGATGTCATAATACCTGAAGAGATATCAATATTTATGTTTAAAATCAAATTAAAAAAAATATTGTCTAGTATTCTTAATAGTGTATTAAAGTTCAGGGTTGAGACTATTAGCACTTTTCCATTTTGAGAATACCATACAGAAAAGAAACCATATATCCATATAAGAACATGAAACTAGTGTTCCAATTATACATGTTCCCAAAATTGATTTTGAATTTTTGAGATATTTCGACTTTTTGAGATTTATGTAGAATCTATTCTATATATAGAAGTAAAAAAAGTATCCAGTTATATGTATATTTAATCAAAGAATAAATCTGGGTGGTCAAAAAATTTTGAATTTTAAATAAAATAATTTTATCTTTTATGAAAAACTATTTTAACTTTTTTTTTCAAAATTACAATTTCGGAGCTTTAAAATAATTTTATGTACAAGTATAGTTCCAATCCTATTTCAAAATACAATTTGAATTAGATTCAGATTTTCTCAATCATATTCAAATTATAAATCTTTATTCTTAAATATTTATAATTAATTAGGATAAATCTGGATCTATCCTTATTTTTAGAATCCATTCTTATTTTTAGGATCCATTCTTATTTTTAAAATCTATTTTTATTTTTAAGATTTATTTTTATTTTTAAAATTCATTTTTATTTTTAGGATTTATTTTTAAAATTATAATAATATTTTCAAATTGTATAAAATTAAATAAATAAAAAAAATTATTTTTCAAAATTTTATTTAATATAAATATAAATTATAATTTATTTTATAATTTTTGATTATTAATTATTCTTCAATTTCATTTCATTTTTTTGCAAAAATTTTTATTAAATTAAGATTTCTTTTTAAAAAAAATATTTTACCAGTTAAATCTGTATCTAATCAAATTCTTTTTGTTATAATTATATTATTAGCATGTGAAAATAATCTTTTACATGAAACAAAAGTTACTTGTATTTCAAGATATTTACAAGTAATTTTAGATAATTTTGAAAAAAATTGTATATTTACTTGTCACCATTCTAATGAATTTATATTTTCTAATACAGCTAATTTTGCTAAATAACTATTTACTTCATTAATATTAATATTTATATTTGATTGAATTAAATTTTTATTTTTCATTTGACAATATTAACAATATTCCTTATGTGAATATAATGAAAATTCTGTATTATTTATTAAAAGTGTAGTTGAATTAGATAATTTTGTAGGTAATAAATTATCTGAATCAAGTTCATTATGAAGTTTTTAAATTATTCTTTTTTTTTCATCTTCTAATTTTATAAAATCTAATGTTTTATAACATGGATCTAATAAAGAAACCATTAATTCTATATTATTAGAAAAATTCCAATAATAAATTAATGCAAAATAAATATTATTTTTAACTTTTTCAAAAATTCCTGTTGTATCTAATAGATTTTTAATAGAAATATTTTTTTTTTTATATATTATTAATAATTTCTTCATCTTCAATTTTAATTAATAATTTATCAATAAAAGTTTTTATTTCAAATATAGTATTTTCATCAAGATAATTAATATTATCTAATAAAGAGTTACAAGCTATATCAAAAATTAATTTTTTAATAATTGATATTATAGTATTTAATGTTACATAAGTTTCTCCTGAAAAATTTTATGTTGCATTTTCAAATAGCATTAAAAAATTAATTAATTTGTCTAATAATTTCTATTTTTCTTCAGATAACATAATTTTTCTTAATTTATTTTTATCATTTTTATCTTTCTTATTTGTACTTGTAAGTAAATCAGCTTAAAATCAAATAATTACATCTTTAAGACAAAAAAAATGATCTCAAACATAATAAAAAGAATTCCAACATGTTGAAACATTTTGAATATATTGTAATATATCTTGATCATTTAATTTGAATTGTACTTCTTCTAATTTTTCTATTTTTTTTTGTGTTAAAAAAAATTAATTACTCATTTACACATGCTATAAAAATTTCTACAGATGCTAATCCTTTACCAATTACCAACTGAAATATGTGAGCTGCACAGGGAATTTATTAAATATTTTCACATTTATCTTTTTGAATTAATATAGGAAATACAGATTTTATATTTACACCATTATCTGTAACAATTGTCATTACACGTTCTTCAAAATTCCAACTTGTAATCTATTGATAAAGTAATTTAGCAATAGTTCTAGTTATATAAGAAAAAGGAGCATATTTTATTTCTAGCATTATTTCTCTAATTTTAAAATCTGATATAATCCATGTTGCAGTAACACCTAAATATTCATGTTTAATTCTACTAAACTAAAGATCTGTAGTTAATAATACTGTTGTAACTGTTTCATTTAATAAATTCATTAAATTTTCACAGTTATATTTATAACTTTTTGATATCATTGTTTTGATTTTTTGTTCTCCAGGCATATTGAATGAAGAATCAAAAAGTGAAATTTTTTCTCTATATATTGAATTTAAAATTATTAAAATAGGTTGATCAGTAACTAATATCTATTTAAGAAGAACTTTTTTAAGTTATTTTTGAATATATTTAGAATGAGAATGATGAGATTTAATAAAATCAATAATTTTAATATTTTGTAATTAAAAAATTAATTATTAAATTAATAATTATTAAATTATTAATTATTAAATTATTAAAAAAAAATTATAATATAATATATAAAAAATTTCAAAATAAAAATATAACTTTATACTTTTTTAAAAATTCTACTTTCAACATCATCATCAACAATAGAATAAACATCTTACAAATGTGCAATTAAATTTCCAGTTGAACCTCCAGCATTTTAATATGTTTGATTACATTGATTATTACTTTCATTTAAAAAATGAATCTCTTTACTTTTTGAATTAAGTCCTTTTTCAAAATACTATCTTGTAAATGATAATTTTTTTCTTTTATATTTTTTGATTATAATTATAGTATATTCTATATCTGTACAAATCAAAAACTATTATTTTTTATTTAAAAATTAAATATTAATTTTATAAAAATAATATTATTAAATATTACTATTATAAGAACTTTCGTCTTTATAAATTATATCAATTGTAAAAAAAGCATTATCTTGATCTTCAGTAATTGGATTATATTGATTTTTTTAAAATCTATTTGAAAACAATTTTCAAATAGATCAAAGTTATCTACTATCATTAAGTAAAATATATAGATTTATAGATGAACAGATAGAGAAAATATAAAAAAAAATAGTTAATAGATAATCAATTATTTATTAAAATTACATGAAATCGTTTTTTATTATATAATGAATATTAGTAATTACACCCTGATTTATTAGTAGATCATCACATCTCCATTGTAATTTTCATAGCACAGGGCTGTGACAAATAGATGACAGACGAAAAAAGAATTCACATTATTTTTCTCTTTACCTATTCTTCTCTTATTTCACCTATCCTTTAATTACTCTAATCACAAAGCAAATTGTCTTTATTATAATTTCTTTTAAAATACTTGTTAATAATTATATTTATTATTAATTAATTATACTCTCTCTTGCTTACTATATAATAATAAAAATAATAATATTATTTTTGTATATAAAATTATATAAGTTGATATAACACTCTAAATAATTTATTTGAAAATAATAACAAACAAGATGAAGAAAACCTATCTCCTGAACAAGCAAAAACTCAAAAGAAAATTATAAACATACTTGAAATTACTGACGATTTACTTTGAAAAATTTTAAAATATATCCCAAGAAAAGATTTAATTTGGGATCTCAACGAAGTAAAAACAATCACTAATTTATATCACAGAAACAATAATATCTAGAATATCAAAAAAATTAACTCTAATCTGCCAATTAAGGTTAGGAATCATCTTAATATTTAAACTCGATTAATCGTCACGAATAATTGATGAATAATCACGAATAATCATTAATTATTCACGATTATTCAGCAATTATTCAATGATTATTTAACAATTATTTGATGATTATTTGATGATTATTCGCAATTATT